CCCCAAAACCCCAAAACCCCAAAACCCCAAAACCCCAAAACCCCAAAACCCCAAAACCCCAGCAAGCAGTACCGCTGTTGAATAAGCTGAGAATTTATTATTAACCTATTAGCTATCTTCTGGACTACTCTGAATAATCTCGACATCAGTTAGTATGTCTTCATCCTGATTGTTGGCATTCCTGGCTTGAGGTGGCATTGGCATCAGCAAGATTGTGTACAAGATAGACACAACATAACGTAGGTAGACATAGTACAGGATCCTTACTATGAAAGTGAGCAGGTAGATTACGTGCACATAGCACAAGAATAAAGTTGAAATAATGCTGATCACAGAGATCAAAGACAGCACACTAAATATCTTCGCCTTTGGAATTCAGTAAACCACCGTTGATAGCAGATAGATTATGCTGAAGAATATTGCATCTACTCAGATGCAAATCAAAATAAAGTTCTCGAGAAAACTGGACTTCTCCCCAGGAGTCTGTGTTTTGGTCAAGTCCTCGGCCACTTGGTCCTTCTTCGAATACGCCAAGAACGCTGAGCCAGCACTTAAGATTGTGATGAGAAGAGTGAATATATAGAAGAAATGTTTGTGCCAACCATAGCTTTCAATAGGGTCATCTTCAGAATCGAGAGGGAAATCGATATTTTGCTCAAGATAGTCAATGGCTCTGAAATAGTTCTCAAGGGCATTAGGAGCTTGCGACCTTCTTCTACCAAACCATCCTTCATTATTTCACGAAATTCTTTCCATCATCGAATCTGGTTCACTGCCTGCATGAGCGTACACCATTTTTCCACCCGGGGTTTTAAGGCAGAACCTTTTAAGATCAGCTCTCGAGTCTATTGTCCCATAGCTAGGCAGGGTCTGACGATCAGAGGCCAGCGTCTTGGTCTCCTCGCCTTTATTAGAGAATGATTTATCCTTTAGTCTTTTGGTTTCGGTGTTTGCTCTTTCCGACTCCATCTATAAAAATGATTATAATATTTTGATTTTCTAAAGGTCTGGGGTTTTGGGGTTTTGGGGTTTTGGGGTTTTGGGGTTTTGGGGTTTTGGGG